ACCACTCCTGTGTGATAAGCCTGGCTTTACACAGGAGCAGTGGGGAAACTGCATGCGATTTGGACAGGAATCGCATTCCTGTTCAAATTGCATGCTTTTTTTTTTTTTTTTTGCAGTGCAATTTGCATCCATACTTTTTGTATTGACGCAAATTGCACCGCAAAGTACCGGTCTCAGGTATCGGAGCATTTTCACGAGTACGAGTGTAACGGAACCGACCCCAGACTGCGCTTGGGTACTTCCGTTAGACTACCACTTCCCCGTCTGAACACCGACAACAGACACCACAGCCGACAATACAAGACTAGATGACACCATTCTTGAAGTAAACCAGGAGGTAGACTAGTTTATTTGAACACAGATACAAGATATATACACACAGGGGACAGTCCCCCCCCTGCCTAATCCCTGCATAATGACACAGGGTGGGGCAATCTACACTTAGTAACAAGAGACACGCAGGATCAAACTTAACACCAGCAGACAGTCCCATCAGGAGGGAGGGCTGCTGGAGACACCCCCCACCAAGCCAATATACATAAACATACATCCCATAATAGTTTGCCCCCAAGCCAGACACACAATAGAACAATGCGATGCAGCCACATGGCATTAAACAATCCACAACCCCCCACACCAATATTAGGAAAGATCACCCTGTACCCCTAACAGGCACAGGGTGACTTATACATAATAGGGATATGGGGAGCTGAGACAGGGATATCCCCCCCCCCCACACCTAATTCCTTCCCACCATACCCCCCCCCCCACTTCTTCCCCGCTGTCTTCTTCTTAGTTTCCCTTTCTTATTATTCTTTCTGAGGCCATCTGGACCTTCTAGCTTGCCACCTACTCAACCCATTGGTATGGAAAATGAACATAGTAATATCCTCGTGTACTTTATGGAGATTCCTAACTACGAGGGGCTCCCTAATTAATGGCCCATCATTGTTCGTTTTCAAAACTTGAACCTGTGACTATGATCCACTTTTTTCAGCTGTCGGTTGTTAATTTTCCTACGCTCAGCTGAATTATATGCTGTATGCGTTATTATTTCAACTCGTGATCACTAAGCTTATGTCTTGAACTTTGTAGTATATTTAAAAACTGTATAAACACATTGAACAAGAACATTTCTGGATGTTCCCTATAACATAAAAAAATCATTACGTTTTGAGTTCCCATTCACTTTAATACAACATGACTTTGGCATATTAGCGCATACACAAGTGTAAAGAGGGTGCAAGAAGTCATTTCAGTTGGCCAACTGGCAGCCGGTTCCTGTGAGGGATCTCATATTAGATCAGTGGTTCTCAACCTTCCTAATGCCGCGACCCTTAATACAGTTCCTCATGTTGTGGTGACCCCCAACCATAAAATTATTTTCGTTGCTACTTCATAACTGCAGCAGCTCTTCTCATTCCCGCCATACAAGGTGTCACACCTCCCCCATCCCCACCACACAGAGCTGCCAGCTCTCTTCACACACGGCCCGCTCTCACCTCCTCACCGACGCCATCTTGGATCCGCTCTCCCCCCTCCTCCACCCAGTCCCCAGCTAGCCGGCTCCCTGACAGAGCGCACGCCCAATCTGAGGACGTCAAAGCTTCTTCACTGGCGCTTCCCGTTGACACGTCACCTCGTCTGGTTGGTCAAGTTCTAGTCCGCCCTGCATTTAGAGCTGGGGATGATGTCGCCGCTCAGCGATGATTGGGGGAGCAGTGCAGACAATGGAAGGGGTGGATGTTGTGGGAGATGATAGGCTGGGGCAGAGGGGGTCAGGTCTCATCACTGCTGACTGTTCTCTTACTCGTATATGTGGGCGTATCTGCATGTGGGCGGACCCACCTGGAGATAGAGGAGCGGTGTCTCGGTTCCTAAGACCATTGGAAATATGTTTTTTCCGATGGTCTTAGGCGACCCCTGTGAAAGGGTCGTTCGACCCCTAAAGGGGTCGCGACCCACAGGTTGAGAACCGCTGTATTAGAGGAACAGGGGAATGCAAACTTATATCAGGAGTCTCCAAACTTTTCAGTACGGGGACAACGTCATATACTTTATTAAAATTTATGAACTGAACAAAAATTATTTTCAGGCTCTCCCTTACATCAGAGTAACTCCTTACATCAGAGTCCCAGTCCCCCATTTCATCAGGTTCTCCATCGGAGTTCACCCTAACATCAGTGTCGCCATTAGAGTGCCTTCTTACACAGAGACGTAACTAGAATCTTTAGGGCTCTGATGCAAGAAACCATGAAGGACCCCCTCCCATCGGCCCCTGGGCCCTTATCACTGGTCCTATGGCCCTTCCTATTGATCCCGGGGCCCTTTACTCCCATCATGGGGCCCTTTATTACAGTCCTGCAGCGAGAAGCGAGACCCTTTAACATGTTCTGCAATGGGCCCTCTTCCTACAAGTCTTTCCCCCCCCCCATGGTGTCAGACAGCATTAGATATGTCACCAGCAAACCAAGGAACTCCATATAACAGTCCAACACAGTGGCAAAGCTACCAGGGTCGCAAAGGTCGCACTTGCAACTGGGCCCTCGCATTCCGCCACCATGGGGGTTCCCAGCCTCCTCTTGATTTCCTGCTATTGACAGTGTCAGGAATGGACTTGTCAATAGTGGTGGGACTCACCTGCCTTGTGGGCTGCAGTACCAGGGCTGGCCAGCGAGTGCTCTCAACAACCAGAGGTTTACTTTGGCAATTAGCCATCACCTGGGGCTGATTGCAGGTGGTGTATTTAAGGGATGGCCAGACCTGCAGTCTGTGCCTTGGTGTATGTTTTTCCATGGGCCCCTATACCTTGTAAACCTGCATTCCTGTTCCTGTCCCTGTTCCTGCCTGACTTGTTGCCGACCCTGCCTGATCCTGACCTCTGCTGACTTCTCCTGTTTGATCCCTGGCTTGTGACCCTGACCATTCTCTCCGCCTGCTCCTCCTGTACCTACCTGCCCGATAGTTATCGACCCGGCCTGCCTGACTACGTTGTGCTCTATATGTGTATGTACCTGTATATCTATACCAGTTTAGGTTTGGGTTTGTTTTACCTTGTTGTATGTATTTGTGTTAGCTTGGGGTTTGGTGCACTGCGTTTATATTTGTATTGTTAGTCTTAATAAATTGTCTTATTTATACCATATCTAAAGCCTGCGTTTCCCTGTGTCAGTCCACACACTTCTGGTCACACCCGCATCCCTGACATTACACCAAGGCCAACCTGACCAGAAGTTGCTGCACAGGGAAGCCATCTTGGCTTGTTGCTGGGAAGGATGGATCTTGATGAGGTTGTGTATTTGTCGCTGCTGGTTTTTGATGACAGAGAATATGCTTATCAGACTCTGAGGGAGTATCCCCGGGATCAACTGCTAGAATGTATACGGATCGCTCATGTTCTAGTAGATCAGGGCACAGAGTTCTCTGAGGTGCAACCTTTGATTCAGGTTTGTGCAGAGTTGGCTTCACCTGGTACCCCTGAAAGCAGGGATGAATTTTTGCCACCATTTAGTGCAGACCAGGTAGAGTCCCTGGTATGGTTATTAGAGGATGATGTGGAGTGCTTCTTGGAGCATTATGCTGCATGTTCACAACAGGTATTAAGGGATTGTACAAACGCAGTGCAGTCTTTGACCAGACAGGCTTTGTGTAAGCTCAGCTTTGTTCAACCCATACTGCAGACATGGTCAGACTTATTGCATCCAGCCTCAGTCAGCTTACAACGTCATTCCTCCGCTCAAGGCACTCTTCCTGCATCCCCGACAGCACCCCCAGTGATGGCCCAGTATACTCTGCTAACTACCACATATCAGTCCTCTGCTCCCACTCGCTGCACCTATCCTTTCTTCAACCCTGTAAAGAAGTCCTCTGTAGCAACTGCTCCTTCCCCTGTTCCATCCTCCAGCTCTTCTCTGTCTTCAGCTGCTCCATCCGTTTACAAACCTGCGCTTACTTACAGTGCTCCGGTAACTAAAACCAGGAAAAGGCGAAAATTCTTTCCAACCAGTACCATCCTGCCAGTATCCAAACCGGTCAGCCTGCCATCTCAGAACCCGCCTTCCGTGGTGCAGCCTGGTGCCTCGGCGTCCACAATTTAGCCTGATGACTCTACCCAGCCTGATGTCTTTACCCAGCCTGATGTCCTTACCCAGCATGATGTCTCTACCCAGCCTGATGATCCTATTATGCCAGATGACGCGATGCCCGCAGTCTTGCCAGATGACTCGGAGCCCACTGTCTTGCCAGACGACTCGGTGCCCGCAGTCTTGCCAGACGACGACTCGGTGCCCGCAGTCTTGCCAGACGACGCGATGCCCGCTGTTCCGCCAGACGACTCGGTGCCTGCTGTCTTGCCAGTTGACTCGGTGCCCGCAGTCTTGCCAGACGACTCGGTGCCCGCAGTCTTGCCAGACAACTCGATGCCCGCTGTTCCGCCAGACGACTCGGTGCCCGCTGTCTTGCCAGTTGACTCGGAGCCCGCAGTCTTGCCAGACGACAGGGTGCCCGCAGTCTTGCCAGACGACTCGGTGCCCGCAGTCTTGCAAGACGACTCGGTGCCCGCAGTCTTGCCAGTTGACTCAGTGCCCGCAGTCTTGCCAGTTGACTCGGAGCCCGCAGTCTTGCCAGACGACTCGGTGCCCGCAGTCTTGCCAGACGACTCAGTGCCCGCAGTCTTGCCAGATGACTCAGTGCCCGCAGTCTTGCCAGAAGACTCCATGCCCGCTGTTCCGCCAGGCGACTCGGTGCCCGCAATCTTGCCAGACGACTTGATGCCTGCTGTTCCGCCAGACGACTCGGTGCCCGCTGTCTTGCCAGTTGACTCGGAGCCCGCAGTCTTGCCAGATGACTTGGTGCCCACAGTCTTGCCAGATGACTCGATGCCTGCTGTTCCGCCAGTTGACTCAGAGCCCGCTGTCGGGCTGGTTGACTCAGAGCCCGCTGTTGTGCCTGGTGACTCGGAGCCCGCGGTCTTGCCAGATGACTGGGTGCCCGCGGTCTTGCCAGATGACTCGGTGCCCGCGGTCTTGCCAGATGACTCGGTGCCCGCGGTCTTGCCAGATGACTCGGTGCCCGCGGTCTTGCCAGACGATCCAATGCCTGATGACCCAGTGCCCGCTGTCATGCCTGGTGACCTGATGCCCACTGTCGTGCCTGATGACTCGATGCCCGCTGTCAAGCCAGACGATCATATGCCTGATGACCCAGTGCCCGCTGTCATACCTGGTGGCCCGGTGCCCGCTGCTCCGCCTGGTGGCCCGGTGCCCGCTGCAAAGCCTGGTGATCCGGCGTCCAGCCTGATGTGCCTCCGTCCGGTGCCCAGCCCGACGTGCCTCCTTCCGGTGTTCAGCCCGAAGTGTCTCCGTCCGGTGTCCAGACCGAAGTGCCTCCGTCCGGTGTCCAGACCGAAGTGCCTCCGTCCGGTGTCCAGCCCGAAGTGCCTCCGTCAGGTGTCCAGCCCGAAGTGCCTCTGTCCGGTGTCCAGCCCGAAGTGCCTCCGTCCGGTGTCCAGCCCGAAGTGCCTCCGTCCGGTGCCCAGCTCGAAGTGCCTCCGTCCGGTGCCCAGCCCGATGTGCCAGTCTTTGATATCCCGCCAGTCACCGGACCCAGGCGGTGGAACATTTTGCCCAGCTAGGACTGTTTGGAGCGTCCTGAGGCCGCTCCTTGAGGGGGGGGGGGGACTGCCAGGAATGGACTTGCCAATAGTGGTGGGACTCACCTGCCTTGTGGGCTGCAGTACCAGGGCTGGCCAGCGGGTGCTCTCAACAACCAGAGGTTCACTTCGGCAATTAGCCATCACCTGGGGCTGATTGCAGGTGGTGTATTTAAGGGATGGCCAGACCTGCAGTCTGTGCCTTGGTGTGTGTTTTTCCATGGGCCCCTGTACCTTGTAACCTGCATTCCTGTTCCTGTTCCTGCCTGACTTGTTGCCGACCCTGCCTGATCCTGACCTCTGCTGACTTCTCCTGTTTGATCCCTGGCTTGTGACCCTGACCATTCTCTCCGCCTGCTCCTCCTGTACCTACCTGCCCGATAGTTATCGACCCGGCCTGCCTGACTACGTTGTGCTCTATATGTGTATGTACCTGTGTATCTTTATCAGTTTAGGTTTGGGTTTGTTTTACCTTGTTGTATGTATTTGTGTTAGCTTGGGGTTTGTTGCACTGCGTTTATGTTTGTATTGTTAGTCTTAATAAATTGTCTTATTTATACCATATCTGAAGCTTGCGTTTCCCTGGTCACACCCGCATCCCTGAAAGACAGCTTTGGTCTGATGTCTCTGTATCCATGAAGCTACAGAAGTGCATCCCCATATATCAGATGTTCCCATACCAGTGTCCTCCTACACCAGGTGTTCCCATCACAGTGCACCCTTACATCAGATTCCCCTGTCAGTGCCTCCATACATCAGGTGTTCCCATCACAGTGTCCTTATAACATCAGGTGTTCCTATAACAGTATCCCCATGCATCTGGTCAACTCACCACTCTCTCTGCATACATCAGGTGTTCCCTTACCAGTGTCCTCCTACATCATGTGTTCCCTATCACAGTGTCCCCATACATCAGGCTCCCCTATCAGTGTGCCTCCACACATCAAGTGTTCCCTATCACAGTGTCCCCATACATCAGGTGTTCCCTATCACAGTGTCCCCATACATCAGGTCTCCCCATCACAGTGCCTCCATACATCAGGTGTTCCCTATCACAGTGTCCCCATACATCAGGTGTTCCCTATCACAGTGTCCCCATACATCAGGTCTCCCCATCACAGTGCCTCCACACATCAAGTGTTCCCTATCACAGTGTCCCCATACATCAGGTGTTCCCTATCACAGTGTCCCCATACATCAGGTCTCCCCATCACAGTGCCTCCATACATCAGGTGTTCCCTATCACAGTGTCCCCATACATCAGGTGTCCCCATCACAGTGCCTCCATACATCAGGTGTCCCCATCACAGTGTCTCCATACATCAGGTGTCCCCATCACAGTGTCTCCATACATCAGGTGTCCCCATCACAGTGCCTCCATACATCAGGTGTCCCCATCACAGTGTCTCCATACATCAGGTGTCCCCATCACAGTGCCTCCATACATCAGGTGCCCCCATCACAGTGCCTCCATACATCAGGTGTTCTCTATCACAGTGTCCCCATACATTAGGTGTCCCCATCACAGTGCCTCCATACATCAGGTGTTCCCTATCACAGTGTCCCCATACATCAGGTTTCCCCATCACAGTGTCCCCATACATCAGGTTTCCCCATAAAGTCAACTCCTCCTTCCTCTCCTGTGCTGAGACTGAAGTCAAAGTCTCCCTGCAGGAGGGAGGGGAAAGCTGAATCTTCTCTTCAGCATCAGTCAGTGGCTGCTTCTTCTGACAGGAGTGACATTTCAGTTACTCCTGTGGTGTCAGTGCGATCCTGATTCACATATATGCGGCTTGTAGTGCGATATGGTGCCGGTGCGATCCTGGTTCACAAATATGCATCTTGTAGTGCGATGTGGTGCCGGTGCGATCTTGGTTCACATATATGCGGCTTGTAATGTGATGTGGTGCCGGTGCAATCCTGTTCACATAGATGCGGCTTGTAATGTGATGTGGTGCCGGTGCGATCCTGGTTCACATAAACGCGGCTTGTAATGTGATGTGGTGCCGGTGCGATCCTGGTTCACAAATATGCATCTTGTAGTGCTATGTGGTGCCGGTGCGATCCTGGTTCACATATATGCGGCTTGTAATGTGATGTGGTGCCGGTGCGATCCTGGTTCACATAGATGCGGCTTGTAATGTGATGTGGTGCCGGTGCAATCCTGGTTTACAAATATGCATCATGTAGTGCGATGTGGTGTCGGTGCGATCCTGGTTCACATACATGCAGCTTGTAACGCGATGTGGTGCCGGTGCGATCCTGGTTCACATATATACGGCTTGTAATGTGATGTGGTGCCGGTGTGATCCTGGTTCACATATATTCGGCTTGTAGTGCGACGTGGTGTCAGTGCGATCCTGGTTCACATATATGCGGCTTGTAATGTGATGTGGTGCCGGTGTGATCCTGGTTCACATAGATGCGGCTGTAATGTGATGTGGTGCCGGTGCGATCCTGGTTTACAAATATGCATCATGTAGTGCGATGTGGTGCCGGTACGATCCTGGTTCACATATATGCAGCTTGTAATGCGATGTGGTGCCGGTGCGATCCTGGTTCACATATATACGGCTTATAATGTGATGTGGTGCCGGTGTGATCCTGGTTCACATATGTGCGGCTTGTAGTGTGATGTGGTGGCGGTGCGATCCTGGTTCACATATATGTGGCTTGTGATGTGGTGTCGGTGCGATCCTGGTTCACATATATACGGCTTGTAATGTGATGTGGTGCCGGTGCGATCCTGGTTCACATATATGCGGCTTGTAGTGTGATGTGGTGCCGGTGCGATCCTGGTTCACATATATGCGGCTTGTAGTGTGATGTGGTGCCGGTGTGATCCTGGTTCACATATATGCGGCTTATAGTGCGATGTGGTGCTGGTGTGATCCTGGTTCACATATATGCGACTTGTAGTGTGATGTGGTGTCGGTGCGATCCTGGTTCACATATATCCGGCTTGTGAAGTGATGTGGTGCCGGTGCGATCCTGGTTCACATATATCCGGCTTGTGAAGTGATGTGGTGCCGGTGCGATCCTGGTTCACATATATACGGCTTGTAATGTGATGTGGTGCCGGTGCGATCCTGGTTCACATAGATGCGGCTTGTAATGTGATGTGGTGCCGGTGCGATCCTGGTTTACAAATATGCATCATGTAGTGCGATGTGGTGCCGGTACGATCCTGGTTCACATATATGCAGCTTGTAATGCGATGTGGTGCCGGTGCGATCCTGGTTCACATATATACGGCTTATAATGTGATGTGGTGCCGGTGTGATCCTGGTTCACATATGTGCGGCTTGTAGTGTGATGTGGTGGCGGTGCGATCCTGGTTCACATATATGTGGCTTGTGATGTGGTGTCGGTGCGATCCTGGTTCACATATATACGGCTTGTAATGTGATGTGGTGCCGGTGCGATCCTGGTTCACATATATGCGGCTTGTAGTGTGATGTGGTGCCGGTGTGATCCTGGTTCACATATATGCGGCTTATAGTGCGATGTGGTGCTGGTGTGATCCTGGTTCACATATATGCGACTTGTAGTGTGATGTGGTGTCGGTGCGATCCTGGTTCACATATATCCGGCTTGTGAAGTGATGTGGTGCCGGTGCGATCCTGGTTCACATATATCCGGCTTGTGAAGTGATGTGGTGCCGGTGCGATCCTGGTTCACATATATACGGCTTGTAATGTGATGTGGTGCCGGTGCGATCCTGGTTCACATATATGCGGCTTGTAATGTGATGTGGTGCCGGTGCGATCCTGGTTCACAAATATGCATCTTGTAGTGCTATGTGGTGCCGGTGCGATCCTGGTTCACATAGATACAGCTTGTAGTGTGATGTGGTGCCGGTGCGATCCTGGTTCACATATATACAGCTTGTAGTGTGATGTGGTGTCGGTGCGATCCTGGTTCACATATATGCGGCTTGTAGTGTGATGTGGTGCCGGTGCGATCCTGGTTCACATATATACAGCTTGTAGTGCGATGTGGTGTCGGTGCGATCCTGGTTCACATATATACAGCTTGTAGTGTGATGTGGTGCCGGTGCGATCCTGGTTCACATATATGCGGCTTGTAGTGTGATGTGGTGTCAGTGCGATCCTGGTTCACATATATACAGCTTGTAGTGCGATGTGGTGTCGGTGCGATCCTGGTTCACATATATCCGGCTTGTGATGTGATGTGGTGCCGGTGCGATCCTGGTTCACATATATGCGGCTTGTAGTGTGATGTGGTGCCGGTGCGATCCTGGTTCACATATATGCGGTTTTTAGCCTCGATTCGGATGGTAGTGCATTGAACTGCGAAATCGGATTGCGCTGCTCAAAACTTGCACACGACCCTTTTTGCAAAACACAGTGCGGCTCATCTGCATATATCAGAACGCCCCCCCCCCATAGGAAGACATGTTAATACACCGTCATCCGAATTCGGACAGTGCAAATCGCATCTAAAACCTCATATACAGGGGGTTAGACAAAATTATGGAAACACGACATGATTTGCAGGTGTGAAAGAATGATACATCACTTCCACTGCTGCAAAAGTGACTGCAGAGCTCAATCTCAGTCCTCACTTAACTCCGCCTTCACAGGACTGAGATTCAGCTCTGCAGTTGCTGTAGAAAAAAAAAAAAAAAACAGAATTTTCTGTACGGGAGTCATATCAGTAAAAGGCAGATTCTGATTGGTCAGAATTACTGCAGTTCACACTCAGAACTTACCTGCTTTAGCCCTGACCCAGGAGACGGCCTTCCCCTCCAGCAGCTCCCACTCCTCTCTCTGATCCAGACATGTGGTGTGAAGCCAGATCACCGCCAGGACCGTCACCCACACCGACACCTTCACGTTCTGCAGAGGAGGGAAGGAAGAGTTTGATAGACAACACCTGGGGGGCGCAGCTCCGGCACCTTCAGCACTGCATGCATGTAATGTCAAGGGGGGCTGGAGGGTCTAATGATGCTAGTTGCTGGGGGATCTATTGTTGCTGGGGAGTCTTACGTTGCTGGGGGTGAGGTCAATATATTTAAAAAATATATTCTCGGGTAAATATAAAATACTGAAATTATGGTCAATAACACGATACCTGGTCAGGGTTCCCGGCCCGTATATTTCTATGAGATATTCCCAGGACAGCAGAGATGTTG